TCCACATCCGAAACCTTGAGTATGAATGAGAAATATCTCAGCACAAACATGTAAGGCCTGCACATTGCTACACTTAAGATAAAGGCGTCTATGACCAAGTACAGTTCATACAGTACTCTCTGCTGGGTTCACGGCTCCACTCAGAACAGAAGGATCAGGCAGACTTGCCAGCAGGCCCCAATAAATACCCAATACCCCTCCAGTTGGCTTGAGCATTTCTCAAGGCCTCTCACTCAAATCATATAGCCAAGCTGTTGAGCAAGCACCACAACTCTTCCAAAGTCAGATCATCCAGAGGCCTAAAGACCTAAATGAAGATCCTAAGATGTTTTGATTTAACCCCAGAGCAAAATTCAAACCCCACCGTTTGCATTCGTAATATATAATATTGATCATTCTAATCAAAGATATTTCTTGAAGACCACGGCTTAGAACTTCAAGTGCTGCATATAATACATATGTTGACGGATAATGACAGGGACTCTTCTCATAGTTTTCACCAGTGATTCAAGTGCAGCTATCGGGGAAAGAAACTGCATCCAAGGCAGTACTAGCAAATCTTTTGTGTCACATCGTTTAAATCACTGGTCCTTCCATAAAAATCAGGGCCAACAACCGAGGAAAACCTCGGCAGCCATCTGACTGAGTACCAACATAAATCTAGAAAACATGCAGTAATTAACATTTTTATTTGATTTGCTGTGCAAAAGCTGCAGCTTTAAAGAGCAGTTTTAAAGCCAGTGGAAAACTAAATATACACAAGTATTCAAATAAGCAAATTTTAACTTTTTAATTTGCTCACGGAGATCAGAGTTTCTTCAAAAAGCTTGCTGATTTTTTCTGTTTTAGAGCAGATCTTAAGGGAGTTTTTAAGAACTTCTTAACTCCAGTGAAGCAACATTTGTTCTTCCCTGTTCTGCTACAAAGAGATCCTGGAGCTCCAGGCCTACACAGCGAACTGCTGGCCAGTACGCAATGGTGGCTTAGGCCTTGTTCTGTAAATAACCCGATCAGCCAGCCATTGTCCTCCTATGTTTTCTAACAGGGCGTGCTGATTGACGGGTCTAACTCAAGGAACATCCCCGTTTTCCTATTTTTGTGGTCTGGAAAATGCTAAATGAGCCTGTTTGAGACACTTGAGAGGGATCGAATGTTTTCATCACCCTTCCCTGGACGGCACCGCCATCTGTTTCCATTTTCCATAAAATCTAAGTAGTCAAAGATTTCTCCATTGCTGCTTTTTATTTCCCTTTCCAGAGCTAACAGCAGAGGAGCAGTGGTGGGGTGTCTATGACGTTCCATCATGACAGCGGTCATTAAACAACACAGTAGGGTCATGCTTTCGGTCGCCAGTATTTTGTTCTTCTCCTCCATAAAAGAAAGACAATAACTACTAAACATGGTATGATGCTTTCCATGTGAAGCTCTGAGATGCAACGGGAGGCTAGGAGGTTAGAGCAGAATTTATTCAAAACCGAATGCATGTAAAGACTTTCTAGACGCTGCAGATCAGAGAGCTCTGAAGTAAAGGAGGGCCGAAAAGTAGGGCTGAAAGACTGAGAACTCCTGAAAGCCTGAAACTTATAAAAGGAGCATACAGTCAATCTGCACAAAGACAACCTGTTGAGCTCAGACAATGTGACATGGGTCGGTTTAAGTAAAGGTATGCAAAACTGTTTTCCAGCAAAGCACAAAAATGCTTGCAAGACATAATAAAGATGCAAGAAGTAAACACTGCCAGTATACCGTATATCTCTGTCAAACAGATAGCCCACTGACAAATCATCTTCTCTCTGCCCCCACTGTCTAAGGAAACATTCAATGGCATCCAAAATCTGTACTTCCAATTTAACCTTTCAGCTGAAAGTAAAATCACATCAATAACTATGATATGCAATGGATTCATATACTTTCTTAGCTGCTTTTGTATACCGGTAGTTTTTTAAAAAGTCAAGATTGCCCAAGGAAACTCTCCTGTTTAGTTCACACCTGAAGAAGCCGAAACGTTGGGTTTTCTTTCTTCCTTTTTTCAGCTTGGAATAAACCTATTACTTGTTCCTTTGCAGCCTACGCATGCTGACGCAGCTACCCACCTGGACTACTATCTCCTGTTTAGTGTCTGGGTGCCTCTATCTTGCAATGGGGAGAACATAAAGGACAAAAGCGCTAAAGACAGCTCAGAATGTTAGCCAAGGAATTCTGCACACAAATGTTCGAAAAGGGTTACTGGCTACTGACACAATGTTCCTGCGCTAGCACACACAGGTATGCACCTTCTGAATGGGAGCAGCCATTAGGTTAATGAGCGCCAATGGGGACCTCCAATGAAGTCATCAAGAGCCTGCTCAGAATAACAATAGTCAACTAACGCTTTTCTGAGTGAATAGAGGGAGGGATAGTTGATATGGAAAACTGGGAGAGACCAGTTAAAGGGGGGGGGGGGCTATCCAGCACTGGACTCTTTATCACTTGTCTGGTTTTGATCAAATTATTTGTTTTTAGCAGAGGGAAGAGGCCATGATAGGGATGAGGAAGGGCAAAAACCAAATAGGAACATGTTAGCTGGAATTAAAAAGTGACCACCTGTTCCAAACAATAAAAGATTGTTAAATTTAAACAGGCAAATTGCATTAAGGAATTTTACTAAAATATGCAACAATTCGATTTTTGTTACCTCAGACCAAGCCTAAAAGTTTTTAGTGCTGTCAAGTTAAAAAAAAACTAAAATACTGTGACTGGCTCGATTCTGCAAGAATCATGCCTTGTAGGCTGTAGTACAGTGACTGCAGTGCAAGCTCAGCCATGCTGTGCTGGTATGATTTACTAATGCGTATTTGTCTGAATAAAAATCTAAATCTCATTTCTCTGCCTGCCTCATAGTTTACAAGAACGTCCGCACTCCCTTTTTAACCCAATTCAATTAATCCTGAGGTCTGACGTTAAGTCTAAAAGGGGTGATGACCTCTCCCACTCGCATACCCAGAAACCTGTAACTCAGCCCAGGACTGGCCCACATCACTACGCGTTGCCTGCAAGTTAAATATTGAAGGGATCATTGCAGTGGTTTTGAAAGCCCAAGCAGTCAAACCACAACAAATGCACCAGAAATGTTCTTGTTAAGGTTTAAATGCTCCCCAAAATAATTTGTATTAAAGCATACATCATTCTTCATTCAAAAAATCTGGGACATTTTGCAACAACCTACTTTATGGCTATGGAAAATGGTTAAAGATGGATAGAAAATGACGGTGTTTGAGGGGAGTTTTTGCTTTGACTAATTTACACTGGAACATTTGCTCTACATTGTTCTCTACCGTCATTCATTATGTAGGCCTATTTAATCACAACGCAATTAAGAAGACTCTTGACCCTTGAGAAATAATATAGTTCCTTATCTATATCTCAAAAGCACTTTATATATATATATGTAAACTAGCCTACTAACGTCGTTCAATTAAGGAAAAGCTTTTAAAGTTCAACCGCGTATGAGGTTTCTTCATTTTTGAAGCAGCAGACAATCCCTCCAATATGCACATGACTAGTTTTGAAACAAAGTATTGATGGAATTGACGCTTGCAGCAAGACCTATCCAAAAGTAATTTAGTTTTCCGAGATTTAGGGTTAACTACCCTATTCCGATTCATTTCGTGCGCGTAGCGAGTAGTTGAATAGTAAGAACTCCAGACAACTGCAGTTGGGCTGCTGACACAGCCACGCTAACAGTTCGCAGTATTGTACTTCTCCCAAGTGCTGCTGTCAAGGAGACATTTGATTGAAACCACAGCACCACTCCTCGTAATAGCTTTTAACTCGCGAGTCTCCAAAACCCCCACCGAAATTAATCGCACTTTAATTAGCTAACAATAACAACCTTGTCTGGGTTTCATGGCGATATAAGCTTACTCATGACTGATAGTTTCCGAAGCTTGGAGAATAAAGTAGTCTATATACCACGTTACGGCACATTTGTTATTACGCGCGACATACAACGAAATGATCCTTCTCCAACAGGAGAACCTTTGTAACCTCTGTTGCTGCGAACTTTAACATTGTTTTATTTTGTTAATGGAGCTCTCAAAACTGACACTTAAACGACATTTTGGGCAGTTCTGCTCGCGGAATTTCTACCCCTGTTGTTGCGTTTCGTGACAGAATGCAACTTACTACAAAAGGCTAGATAAATCGCCACTGTCTGGGCTTCTTTCCAGCTCAAGTGTCGGGTTAGTGGCCCCGTTGTTATCATAATACGCAATTAATACTGCGTTACAGGAGGAGACTCAAATCTCGGGAGTCCAATATTTATAGCAGGTATCGCAAAAGCCCACAATAAAATGTACGATTAAGCTTACTAATACGCCAGTTGAGATTCCCCTTCCCGACTTACACATTTTGCTGCTTAACCATGACCTTCCCCTCAGTTCCACCGGGACCGGGCAAAATACAAAACAAAGACGACACATTTTGCCTAAGTTAAAAACTCTGCATCTGTCCTCCGTCCCTCGCTACACTTCACAATCTTTTGTGCTTGCGTCCGAAAACAAGTCGCACTCTTCAACAAAACAGGACTTCCGTCCTGTTCTCAGGGAGGAGGAAAAGTTGCAAAACTTGCAACTGCAAACGTCTCGCCACAAAGTTTCTCTCCCCATCTTAACAATACCCGCAGATGAACCCTTCACCACACCGCATAAACACCAGACGAGAAACCAAGATTAAACACGAGGAAAGTTTGTATATAGGGCCGTTTTGTAACGTATAAAGCCTCTGCGTTTATTGTATTGGCTTTTGAAAGGACATCCCGAAATGAGCAAAGCACTGGTTGCTCCTTAAGAGACCACTCAAAGGGAATATGGCGCTCTGCTCTGGCAAAGAAGGGCAAAGTTTTTTTTTTGTAAACGCGTGTCTGGACCGCACTGACAGGGGCTGGAGAACGACTTACTCATTATACTATAGCGTACAGTAGGTACAGAAATACAATGTAAAAGACTGATGATGGCACTCACCGTTCTCGCACTGGGAGACAGGGACCCGTTGGATAGGTAGGGGTTCGTAAGATCTGGGATCATTAGAAACGGATATCCAGGATAAGAGGGGCTCTTAAAAAAGCCTCCATCTTGCTGTCTTCTTAAGGCTTTTGGGAAAACAGCACCGAAGGCAAAGAGGGAGAGAACGAACAGCATTGTGAGACGCAGGCTTAAAAGTTTTTTTCAGAAACAACAATGCATTAAAACAGCAACAACTTGTGTGAATGGTTACCTTCGGTAAAGTAATCTCGGGGTTTCTCGTAACTTTCCGAGTCTTGCCTTGGCTGGGGACGCCTCTCCGCTTGCTAACACAGAAACACGCAGACAAGAAAAAAAAACCATGTAACTAGTTTAAAGTTTCAGAGTATTTTGTTAACTTCAAACGCTGGTTACGCCGAAATAGCACGAAACATTGTCCCTATATTCATACTTACCTCAGAGTCTGAGGAACTGCTGTTATTTTCCGACTCGTTTACGAGGGATGACTTAACATCGTCCAGATCTCTCTCGGCAGATACATTTTCGGAAATTTTCTCCTCTTGCTCTCCCTCGTCTTTGAAGGAGATCATCTCATCGTTAGCCCCCAAATCATCTCCTCCGCCGCCGTTCAGCTGTGGCATTTTTGTAAGTCACTAAAATTCTCTTAATCCCCTTGAAAATAAAAATATGTTTCAAATGATTTGTAATATCCCCGTCTTCGCGTCGTGGAAACAAGCAGAATCTTGCAGTAGCGCGCTTTCGCTTGTTTCTCATAAACTTTGCCTTTATTCTGTTCCCACGGTTTCAAATCTTCGCGTTAAAATACATTCTGGGAATCGCTCCACTTTCCATCGTTAAAAATCGGAAGATATTTTCATATAATCCACATAAACAGGTTTTAAAGTTCAAAAAGGTAAAAACAAAAAGACACCCAGATTTGCAGTGGCAAGCTCTGCTGTGTTGTTTTTCTACCGCTCCGTCCGAGCGAGGGTTGAACAGTGCGGCTTCGACCCCCTTTACCTGCTGAATTTCAGAGGTAGATACAAAACAAAAACGAACAAAACTGAAGAAAAAAAGAAAAAAAAGTACCCCTTAAAAATCATCCCTTAAGATCCATACGTAAATATTAGCCTATTCTCGCTCAGCGAGAGGAAAAAAATTCAACTTTCGGGAGTCTGTTCCTCAAATGTTTTGCACTGCAGCTACATGAAGAAAACAAAACGCATTTAACTTTGCTGGAAAGTTTCGGCGACAAAGTTTCCTGGGAATTCCTGTCGGACGGGAGATTAAAAAAACATTTTTTTTTAATGCTTATAAATCCCGTCCTGGTTTAGTTGCAGTTCATTGTTGAATACAACGTGTACAATGCAGATACATCGTAACGTATTATCGCTATCGAGAATCCTGCATGGTTTGGGGGGAAAAAACAGCTCTTGCAATTCTTTCTACATCGAGTGACGAGGAATGTGCAACTATGCTAGTTTGCTCGCTGAACTGGAAGGAAGAGAGGCTTGATTAAAACGCAGAGGAGGAGTTTGCGATGAAAACCGACACTTCATTCACTAGCGCCTGACGGGGAGTATCCTTAAAGGAGCCCGGCTCGAACAGTGGGGGTTGGGGGGAGCAAGTTAAGTATTTAATCGCTAGAGTCGCGTAGTTTGATTCGAGCGCAGCCAAATCGAACGGTACTTTATCGGAGCGAGAGCGGGGAATTGGCCAGGGCCCACATGTGTTCACGGTCAACTTTTGGGAACAGCAAATCTAATCCGGGATGCTGTCATTGGCACTTGAAAAAAAGAGCTCTTGGTGGACAGAACCCTGTGAACAAATATCCCGTACTCGCAGCATCCCACAGTCCGGGAAGTATAGCCATTTAAGTGAGTTTGAATTGAGGCTCCCGAGGTCTGGCAATAGCAATGTTCACCTCCCAGGAAGGCAACTTTATCGTGATTTGCAAAAGTACGGAGGCATTTCTCCTTACGAAAGTGATCTTAAAGTCTCTATAGAAATGTCCCTAAAGAACTCACTGCGTAGAATTGGAGCGTTTCTATATAAACACGTGGGTCAGGTTTATATTATTTCTGTAAAGGTTTGTAAAGCCGGACTTGCGCATAGGTGTGCTACATACAGTATTAGCAGTTATAAGGATAATGTAAATTACGAACCTCTGTAGATGATTCTACTTTGTTACGCAAAATGTGACAAAAATGAAATAAGTCTGATATTATTAATATTACCGTTAATAGTAGTGTACAACCGTTTGCCAGAGCAGTGGAGATGAAAATGTATAGAACGAAATAGCCTATAGTTACCAATTTTAATTGCCCCTATATCAAAAGCAATTATTAAATTGATAACTAAAATCACGATATTTTAAAATGAAAGACGACTGAAACTTGTTTTCATCTTGATGACTTAACGATGAACAAAAAAAATGCACACGTGTAATTTGACAATACAATGTTTGTTAAATGCTCGCAGGAACATCGCTTTGCGTTTCACAGAAATAAAATGGCAATTCATAACATGCTCCCTTTATAACAAAGACGTCCACATTGTTTTTCTAATTTAAATATTAAAAATGCGATATATAAAAAACGAGGAATGAAGCTCTGTAACTGTATAACTGTGCTTCAGCACGCGAGAGGCGGGAACTTCATTTGTCCCTCTGCGGGGGTCAGTTTTCCCGTCTCTTTCACATAAGGGTGAAATATTTAGCTGACACATTACAACAGCCCCGATGTCTCCAACACAATAGTGGTCTGCTTCCAACTGTTCCAATACGGCGCAGTTGTCAAAATTAAGCTTTAAGGTTCAACTGGTTTTAAATTTGGAATAAACGCATTTCAACTTGCGCACTTGTTAAAACTTTTTAAAATCTTATCCCATATTGCAGCATATATACACTGCAGACCAACGTGTGTTTAAAAAAAATTAAACACTAATCGTGTGTATATAAAAAAAAGCTTAAGAATTATATACTTTGTACTTTAATGTTTATTTTCCTAGCGCTTTCGTTTTTGGCAGAAGTGCGTGTGCTCTCAACTGAAATAAATATTATAAATGTGTTTAGAATGTTGTAAATTGCTTAACCGATGCTTAATTCATCAACACTTTCCAGCATAGTGTACCATAAACAGCTTCCCTGTGGGTTTTTGATAGGGAGATAATTATTTTTATATTTTAACTGATCACTTAACATCACTGGTCACTTGTGATGTCTTGATACTATTAACTAAAGATTAAAACATCTAGCCCAGATGTAGGATTTTCTGAATTGCAGGGAGCCTGCCTGTGATCTTCTTCAGTTTCATGTAGACTTTCAACATAATCTGTTTTGATCATCCACGAAAGTTAAGTTAACTTATGCGTAATGGAGACATGTGAGGTCATTTATCTTTTTTTTGTTCCATGGTCACGTTGGAACGTCGAATCTTAAAAATATAGATTCCTTCTAGATCGTGGAATGGAAACAAACATGTGACCCAGCTTTTTTTTTCTCCCTTGCACTTCATTAATACACAGCGGAGCGAAGGCAGGATGAGGGCAAGCTGATTGATCAAAGCTAAAATCTGAAAGCAAAGACATCTAGCATACTGTACAGCAGCTGCCGGCAACTCCAGTCTCTGAAGGCTGTGTGGTCTTCTGCATTTCATTCCACCTCAGGTCTCAGGTACTGGATTCAGCTCATTATTAGCTTAGCTCACCAGATATTTATTTATATAGTTATGTTGCTGAAATAATTCTGCGAAATCTGCAGAGCTGTGGCCCACAGTTTCAGACTGCTCACCACAGAGGAGGACCAAAAGTAAATATGTCATTTCAGTACATTTTATGGTTAGGGCACTTAGGTTAAAAAAGGGTCATTTTTTTTAAATTTTAGGAAGAACTCGAGGGTGGGACAGCATTAAAATGGTTGTGATTTTTTATAGTTTTGAGAGGATATCTCATCCACCTAGAAAGCTGATGTTAAGTCCAATTTAAATCAAAAACTCTCACCCCACTTGCTCATAACATGCCACTTTGTGATACAAATACTGGCCAGAGGTGTCCAGGTCCTTCTAATGAGAAAACCTCTATCAGTTACTGATATTGGGATTTGTGAAATAAACAGATGGGTTGAAGTTTTCATTTAATCCAGATGTTTATTTTTATCCACACAGAAGTTTCGGCATCAGACGTGCTCCCCGAACTCCCTTGCACAGCCTATCAGATGGAAAACTGAAAAGACTGATGACTGCCTCTCCCAAAAGGTACTGCATCCCATTCAGTAACAGTTCACGCAGCTGCGCTGTCACAGTCCTGCCAGGCCCTGCTCTGTCTGTATCATTTCTTTCCAGGCTCCTATTGGTGGTGGGAAGAAACAAGCCCGGCCGATTGGATAGCGTTTCTGCGCCATACCTGCATTTTCCGTGGGATTAATTAAAAAGGTACAAAGACACCATGTTTTGTTTTTCCTGCAGTAAAATGTAACTAATGTGTAATGCTTAGAAGATGCATTGCTTTCTAGCTCCTTGACTTCAAGAACAGCGGCAACGTCTACAGACCCAGTGAAATTAAGGTGCGAGTATGTCCTGTAATCAAAGACATCATTTCAGTTTAGACTTTTAAGAAGCACACGACTAAAATAATTCAAAATCCCAGTGATTTAATCTCGTTGGAATGAGAATACAGTCTCTAAGAGACAGGGCCTACAGTCGTGGAATTAAAGTCTCGTGATTGCAGGAGAACAGCGTAGAGCAGTGGGCAGCAGTCCGGATTTCAAACTGGAAGGCTGTGGGTTCAGATCCCAGGTGAGACGCTACTGTTGTACCCTTGAGCATGGTGTGTCACCCAGGTTGCCCCAGTAAGATCCTCAGCTGTATCAGTGGGAATAATGTAAACTGCTTGGGATAAAAGGGTCAGCTAGATAGATGAGTAATTTGCAGGTTATTTTTCTGTAGTTGGGGAGATCAGTCTGTAGGGCCCTCTTCTCCCTTGTGTATTTTCTACCTGGGACTCCTGGTATTTCAAATCTGATACTGGCCCTCCCCGAGGTTTGCCAGCTGCCAAAAGCTGTGTCATAATGACAGGGTATGAAATGAGTCTTAATTACACACTGCCACGTTAATTGCATGTTAGCGCATCAGAACAATAGGGGATTGGCAGAATAGGAGAGCTGTGTATCAGCATGGATAAGCAGGTTTGTTATTGGGGCTTTAGCCAGGGCTTTGTGACGAAATCCCCTCTCAATAGGTGTGATCTCTGGCCCTCCCACTTAGACAAGGCCTGCTGGCTGCAGAGTGAGACATGCACTGCCTAGAAAAAAACAGGAGGAGGTGGGAAGCACACTTAGCAGACAAGATTTGTAGAAACAAGAAGGTAAGTGTTTGAATTTCCCTTTTTTGATTTCTCTCATTTTCATCATTTGCATGTATACATTCAGATGACGCTTTTATTGGAAGCAACTTATATCTTGCACTCGTTTAGTGTGTTTAGTAGAGAAAAAGTCGGGGAAAGAAGTATGTTCAAGGATACAATGACAGGTTCCCACCTGCAATTTGAGCTCACAGCCTTCCAGATAGAAGTCTGGAACCATACCCAGTGCTTCACACTGCTGACCAGAAGCAAAATGTGCAATTGTCCCCATACTATCGCTTTATGAAATCACCTTGATTATGCTGAGCTGGGAGCACTGAAGACATATACATGCAGGTCTGCTGAGAATCCATACTGCCTGGCAAGCTGCTTTTGTTTTAACCTGTGTGTCTATGACAGAGGAAAGAGCTTCTGCTGGCACAGTCTAGTTCTGCAAATGCAATCCACAGCACACTGAACCCAGGTCCAGTTAACCATGTGCTGTCACTGAACCTGTCCCTTCAAGACTGTAGGATGCTCTGGTTCACAGCTGTCTCTTTGAAGCCTATTACAAGCAATTTATTGTAGAATTTATAGCACGGCAAGTAATGACGCCTGCACAGATCACAAAGATATGCATTCTTTGGGATATGCAATAGGTAAGGACCAAAATAAATAAAAAAAAAACAACCAGGTGCTTTTTTATCAATGATCAATTTGCCCTCATCTGCCAAAAAAGTATATCTAAATATGATGCTATTTTAACCACGTTCTGACCTCAGGTCTGTATGGGTTCATGAGTAAGGAAAAAAGGAGACAAGGTGGCACAGTGGGAATCCCAGTTTGAAGCTTAGCTTTGTCACTGAGTCAGTGTGTCGAGCCAGGTAACGTCTTTGCTGATGACTGACATCAAGAGCGTTTAACACACAGTGTGCTCACTAGTAATTGCATTCGAGCAGTACGTTTCTTTGGCTAGAAAATATCTCTTGACTGGGAAATTCTTTATTATTGCCATAAGAAAGAACTGCTGACATGACATTAGGCACTGTTCACACAAAGGCAGTTCATGCAGTTTGTAAAGTCTCTCTTCCCCAGCTTCACTTTTATTTTTATCCAAGACAGGTAGTAGGTGTCATAGGTTACATGAAAATTTCCTTGTTTGACTAGTGAAATAATAATAATCACATTGCAATTATTATTCCTTCCAAGACAGAAATGTTCCATGTTTAATGCGCCACGGTTTTTGCTGTGTATAATTCAATCCTGTCGCTCTGCAATTGAAATAAATATGAAGGCCAAGGCAGCAGGAGCTGTGCAGAGGGGGATGAATTATTCAGACCCTGATATATTAAATTATATGAAAGATAAATTATTGACATGTTGATTTCTTGCTTTTCCAAAATGGGGGATTTTGCTCCCAATTTCCTCTTCCTACAGCAACTAAACATAACAGCAGATCCCGATCCCGATCTCTTGAAAAAATAACCCCTTAAGCTGGTATTCGTTAACCCTCATCCTCACTAGGGCCAATACAACCTAATTTGTACAAGGACAGGGTCCTCAACACTCACCCCCCCCTTACAGCAGAAATAGAATTTAAGGAAACTTCCACTGTTGTAGAACAGTTATAATTTCATGTATGTTGTGTCGGACATCAATAAAATCTAAATACTAGTTTCATGAAGCTTTCGATAAGTGTATTGTGACACAGAATAACACCGCAATTTAAATGAATTAAAAATACTTCTGGATCCTTCCCAGAGCCACTTAACACATCCTTATATAATGGTCTGTGTCGGTATTATTTTTTCAGCCTTGACACAAAAGGCACTTGTACTAACCTTTTTACTATAAAGTGAAATATCACATTTTAGTCAGTATTCCTTTACTTCTAGCATTAATCAGCTACATTTTGACTTGTATGTTTTTTTTTTCAGAATTACCTTTCAAAATGACTCAGTGACCAGAGACATTTACAATAATATTCGTCTGCCATTGCTCTTAGTAGAGCTGGTAGTTCTAAGAAGACTTCCCCTCTTGTGGATGTAGATTAACGCAAGGGCAAGTGATTATAGCTGCTGAGGTCAGCAACTAACACGTTTTTAACCACTTTATTGCATCAGTAGGTGACAATGTGACTCTACAACAATGTCAATGATGTTAATAGAACACCGGTTTGTTTCCTGTAAATCACCTGATTTCACTCTCCAATGTTTGGAAAGTCTACAGGTGATCACCAATAAAAGGAGGTGATCCTTGGATGCTCAGTGTAAACGAAGTACTGTTGACAGTGATACTTGTTATAGACCTCTGCTGTGTTAATTTTGGTATTTAAAATTAAGGGCAATAGCACAGAGTAGTGGTTAAAAGGGTTGAATTTTGTGTAGGATACTGCTGTTGTGTCTTTCAGTAAAACCTGATGCAAAAGCAGATACTCTCTAAGAATGACTTTTTAACCTTTTCTACACCTACAGTAAAGCTCTTTGAGATGCAGTTTTATGCATATTATTATTATTATTATTATTATTATTATTATTATTATTATTATTATTAACAGCTCCAATGCACAGTAGGTAAGTTGGGAAATTACTTCACCTGCTGAATCAAGAGAAAACCATAGCGATGGAGCAAGCTGTTTAGCCACAATGACCCGGTAGCACCTCATACCCTTATGAAATGTGCCTTGGGAATAATATCATTGTTTCTGATTTGTCTTGATTTTCAATTGATTTATAAGAACATAAGAAAGGGTGCAAACAACAGGAGCCTGTTCAGCCATTCTATCATGTTTGGCTGATAGTAACTAATAGATCCAATCATCTCATTCAACCTTTTCGTAAAATGAACCAGGTTATCTGCTTCAGCAAGGTGGCTCTCGACCCCTAACCTAAAAGCTTTTGTAAATAAAAAAGTATTTACTGTAAAAATCCACTCCTGTGTTTTCTACTTGAGGCATATTTGGAACTTTTATTAAATAGAATCTGTACTTTACTTCAACCCTGTGCCTTTTGCAAAGTTGCAGGAATGCCCTGATTCAGGTGTATTACGCAAAATGTAACCAACTGGACTGCAGGAGACAAAAACTCTGAATGTCCGTATGTGTGATACAGTGCCAACCCTACTGTGGGCGTGTCTGATACAGTCACATTCCCACAGTGAGTGTGTCAGATATAGGACCACTCCCAGAGTAGGCATGTCTGATATGGACCATTCCCACTTTGCGTGTGTCTGATACAGAGTCATTCCCACCTGTGTCTGAAAAGGTATTCAAAAATAAGGTATTTCTCACACTCAGAAGTGACCAAAACAACAAAACAAATAAAAGTCTAACCAACCAAGCAGATCAATTAAGTCATCAATTAGTACTGGAGATTTAGAGCTTCGCTGGTAAGACAACCATCAGAGTTTCTCCAGGACCAGGATTAGGGACTACTGTTCTAAAATACTTCTCTTGTTAAATAAAGGGTGAAAAATCGTGTATTGGTGAATGTGAAATTATAAAATAAGGTCTTAGGAGAGCAGAGGCTATGCATGTACTCTCAGTCTTACTGTGCATGCCACCCAGCCTGGATTTTGGGTTTCTTCTTCTGTACTCTGTGCAGCAGGGGGAAAGGTGGGGTGACAGGCTCAATGGTGTAAGGGGGTCACAGTTTTTTTTCATCTGAAACCCAGTTTGTCTTTGGCTACACCTGGAGGCAAATACGGACCCAGCAGCTGATTTTAATATAAAGTCAGAAAGCAGAAACCGTGCTGATTTTGTTTTGTCTCCGCAGTTATAAAAATACACATGTTGTGCTTTGTTAAGGGAGAAGCTAGCCTTAATTCATGATGTATGGAGTTGGGGCCTGTTTCAAAGCAATCCGAATCTCTTCCCTTCCCCATCTTTAGCTCAGGGACATGGGCGTTTGGAGGGTAAAATATGTGATCCTCTTCAAAGGGCGCACTCAGTAGGAGCATCCTCAAAAGAGCACCGGCCGTCCCCCCCAATACTCCCCCCTCCCCACACACCTTCTCCTGGCTAGGTTGTGACTCATTGCCATTTGAACAGAGCCAAGGAACAGCGGCGCGCGAGGGGTTAATCACGTTCGTCTCTCTGAAGATCAAAGGGAAGCCAGAAGGATAGGGGATGTCTTTCATTAGCTACATCTTTTCTAACACATCACCATAACAACCTGCCACCGATATCAGCCCAATCCTGAGAAGTAAAGAGAAAAAAAAGCGCAGAAGAAAGTCATCGCTCTAATCATTGCTATTAGGAGGATATGTGCCACTGTGGCCATGAATATTGCATCACCTGCCACTTTCAGTTTTTTCTTACCCTACTTTTTCTGCACAAAATTCAGCCCTGAGTTTTACCATGGTATCTTTAAATACAGTATGTATTTAAGTATGTAGTTCTTCTTTAGGCTTATATATAGAGTTGCATTAATATATGTCTATGGGGGATCATCATACTGTGTAGTACACAAATCTAAAAAATTACTCTCTTTTTTGTCGCAAGCACAAGGAGTTCTGTTATCAGACACCAAGAAATCAGAATCCTGAAGCAGTTTTTTTTGCAAAGGTAAACACTCTGCCCCACTCGCCTCCTGCCAAAAAAGCTAACTCTTTGACAGCTATGAATCATCCTGATGGGTAGTGCTGGCATTTGCAAAAAACTCTGAATTTGGGAATACAAATTCTCTTTAATTCATTCTATGAAGGTTTCAGTGGTCTTGATTTCTACCTGTCTTGGAGGATCTAGGCCTCAGAAAGGCTAGTGCAGCTTCTGGTGCTCTGGACCAGCCTCCAGGGATGTGAAATATTGACAGTAGTCAGAAAGCCTGTGCAGGAAATTGACACCTTTTCACTGCTCTGCCTCCTGCCTCCTTGTGACACATGAGCAACTGTTTCTCAAGTCAAATATAGACATTTGCCATAGTGCCAGAACTTCAGACATCCTCCATGCTAGTTCTTCCGATGTCCCTTCATGAGCGTGTTGCAAACACCACAAACACACATGTGATAGGGATGCTGTTATGAATTCGAAATCAGGAAATTTCCAGCAGAAGCTGTTTAGTTAAAGAAAAACCAGATCCAAGCGCATGTCTTTGCTTACTTTAGTAACATTTATGCCAGCCGCATAAATCAACATGGGAAAAAAAGCCAACAAGAACTTCCAAGATTTCATGTATTTGAGAAGTCTGTTCACTTTTTTAAATGAATGAAGGGTTCTGATATTCTCGAGGTGCACTCTGCAATTATGAAGGAAATACCAGGTTGTTCAGGTATTAAACCAAGCAAAGTGTACTTGGTGGAAAGAACATATTTAATTCTTATATGTATTCACTGAACGTATGACTATTCAGTGCATGACAGTCACACAATCACTCTTTGTAACCATATCCGTTTGTGTCCGATAGTGTATATGCTTGTTTTCCTGTTTTAGAAATGAGCTTGAAGGTGCAGTGAATTAACAAGTGTCAGTGTGAAATTAATCTGTTGAATTATGAAATTCAATGAACTGTGTCCTTAACGCTCAACATTCTGTCCTTGTTTATTGGACAAAAACTGAAATTAATTTTACTCTATACAGAGTCCCGCATCTTATCTTAATCTCTCACTGAATCCTTTCGCTCCTGTTCAGAAATGATATGGAGGTGAAAAGGCAGGTGGGGACTGATGGCTCATAGCTGAAGACGTGAGCACATAAAACTGGTACTGCACAGTCTCCCGCATGGTATTTTTTCTTTTTGTATTTGTCCGCCCTCTCTATCTGTTGTTCGCCCTTTCTCTAATGCTTGCTTTCTATCGCACTCTCCGGTTTGTCTGCCACGCAAGCCCTCAGTATCTCCTGTGCTCCCCTCCCTTCTCCTCGCATGCAGGCTGACAGGCTCTCTTCTGGAAAATCTCTCATTGATGTTGTCGGCTGAATGTCAGGGAGCTCAGGTTTGACTGACAACCCAGTGGGATCTCCAAGGGCCTCATTAAAACCCCACTCCCCCTGGGTGTGTGTGTGTGTGTGTGTGTGTGTGTGTGTGTGTGTGTAAATATATGTGTGGCGGCGTGACTGTTTCAGAATGCATGCATGATTTTTTTAAAACAATAGTACTCTTCTGGAAAAAAAAATGTCAGAAGAAGCCAGTATGTGATTCTAAAAACAGATACCTTGCACACATGACAGAGTTTCACTTGAAGGATACTTGAAGTGTTTTGGGCTGAATTTTATTGCTGATTTCTGGGAATTTGTGTGCAAGAAAAGACAAACTAGTTTCTATATAAAACCATCATTGGTATTGCAGATTTGTCAGTTTCTGATTTTCTTTGTTGTACTGGACTGTATCTTCCAAAGTCTCTCCACGGCCCGAAAATCCTATAATCTTCTTGCTAGGCTGATTCTTCCTTGGCTCTCAGCCAGTTAACAGCCAAAGACAATGTTGCGTGTATAACTCTTACAAAAGTTTCAAAAACAAGCAGAACCTAGCAGAGTATTGATAAAGTGCAAATATCGGGGGGAAGTATCACAAATGATTGAGTAGTATTAAAATAATGGGAGAAACTTTCTGTGTTTAACTGACAACACCTGACAGCATTCACAGACATATCATAGGAAAGGTTTTGGGAAGAAGAGTGTGTTAGCTATGTTGTGCTTGAAAGTGTAATTTCACTGGATTGATGATTCACCAGGTTACTGGTTTGAAGTAAACTAACCAGTTACTCTAGCATATTAAAGTCAGGACTTTAATAACAACAGCACAACCACATCCTTAAGACAACACATAATAAAAAAAAATCACATCTAAATCTGAGAACTGTTAAAAGTTCCTTTCTACAAAAGACTGCATATTTTCATCTCACTTTCCTGCACTTTTCTCTCTGAAGGGTTCTGACAGTATAGCACTCACGCTTAGCTAAAAGTCTAAAAGTAAAAGAGATCAAGGCTTGTGTCTTGTTGTTCAATAAAACTTTCATCCAGGGGAAACCGGAATATTCATTTTTAAAGATGGGTGTGTAATGCACTGAGAAAGTGGATGCCTGCAGTCCCTGCTGACATAATTACCTTCACCCTTTTAAGAGTTAGAATGATGAGTGGCAGACCGCTCATGAGAGAGTTTTCTTTTCGTTTCCAACAGAACATAAACATTTACATTTAATTGACACAGGCCCTTTCAATAATGGATCTTGCCAAGGTCCATCTGTTTCTAGATAAAATTTCAAACAATAGTTATATTCTACTGTATAAGAATGCGGGCCTTTCTGGGGGTTTCCATCACCACGCATTGCCTGCATTCCAAATAAAAGCAGAACAAGCTCCAATCTGACAAATGTACAGTGCTGCAAGGCCAATAAGGTCAAATCAGATTCTTCAAGCAAAAAGAAGCAACTATGCAAGATGATGTTGGAATGAAGCTTGTATAGTTAATACAGATAATATAAAAGGTACAAAGAAGAGATAATATACACATTTCATAAACTGTTCAGCCTGAAAA